TATGAATTCAAGTAGTATTTGATGATATTAGGAACCTACGAGATATTGGAAAATCCCGAGGCCGGATTCCACGTATTGAAGTCTTATAGTAGAGTCCGTGAATGGACTTAAAGCTTTGCAATATCTTAGCTTTTGAATTGGTCATGAGAAGACCATGTGGGCCGCCACCATTACATGCAAAATTTGGTGATATCCTCAAGTCCACTGCTATATGTATCATCAAATGGATTTCGGCGGCTTCAATTTCCAAGATCGAATGGCCCCGCATTAACTTGCCCAGATTTCCAAGTTTTCTTTTGCTCCTTAGGATACACGCGTGATATCTCAGAGCTTGACCAGGACTCTTATCTCCGCCAGGGTAAGAACTTTGATTGTAAAAGGAAGCTGTACCCCCTCAGCGAATGCGAATGTCCTTTACCATACTGTAATTGACCCCCAAGACTCCGTATTGGACTCGAGTTCTATCTATTGGAGCTCTGATAAGCGTGCATAATTCCCGCGGCCAAGCCTCCCTTCAGTAAGACTCTCCCTGCTATAAAATGCTCACGACTAGGACAGCGAATTCACAAACACCCCCAAAAGCGTGACGCTCTAGCTACTACTTGTCACCTGCACTCTATGGTTTATTCAACAGAGGTTGCCGCCGCTTTCTTTCCTTGCTGCTATCATTGCTAGTTCGTCCCAATTTATTGTCTTCTCAAAGCCACCAGTTGCCATTGTTGACTCGGAGGTACATACGCTACACTTGATATATTCTTTTTTTTTTTTCCTTCTGTTTTCGTGCCGGATACGAAGCATCCCATGTATCTCTTTCTATTGTTCCCGCACAAAGCTTCTTACTTCAGTCAAGGCTTTTGCATGTTTCATCGTTAGATGCTTCGGTCAACAAATAGCTTCGGTCCGTTGAGAAGCTTAGGGCCTCATGATTTTACCAAATAAATTCCCAAAATATTATTTGAGAATGAAGATTGGCTCAAAATTATTTTTGAACTATCCCTTGGGGCTGAAATCTCAATTTTCGCACTTTTCTTCTTGTTTTTTTTTTCTCATCTATTAGGACAATACCAAAAATGATATTTGAGCAAAAACTTCTCTTCCTTTTGCTAGAACTCTGACACTAATTTTTTTTTTTTTTTGCCCCCCAAATATTCCTACTATACATGGTTTTGATCTAAACTTTGTCAACTTGCCTCTTTGTAGACAACTCAAGCCGCGCTTGAAGAGGGGTTTGAAACAATTCCGGAGATTTGCGAAGAGGCAACCAATTAGGTAATTTAATTACCAAACTTCTTGCACGAAACTCCTGCATCCTCTAATATTTTCTTTTACAAAATTTCAGCAATCATGCAAATTAAGGACTACGCCGTGCCAGTGCCGCATATTTCACTGACGGATGAACGGGGAGGAACTCAATCAAAGAGCTTGTCACTACATGTTTACAAACCAGCAATTGGGGCCGCTCGCTGAATCCTTCATACCCCTCGAAGGAACTTTCATCTCGAAGATTGGACTAGCAAGTGGACCAAGGAAGTGGTGGCACCGTCGACTTTCTCCACTACATCGAGGGAAGATGAAGTGGTCGTATTAAACTCGTCACTTCACAATGGAGATCCAGAAATAGCCAAATTCACGCTTCCGTTCGTGGGCTTCAATGTTGACAAAGCTACATGGAAAACCCCTTCGTCATTCTTCGGTGAGGCGTGCTTCACCTCCCATTATTGGGAGTGGGTTGAGGACATGCTTGGAAGGTATAAAGACATACTCACACGCGCTGGCATATTTGAAGCCGTCTACGCGTCGAGATACTCCTACGACCGCTGTGAAAATATCTTGCGAGCCTTCTTCAAATACTGGTGTCCCTCGACGAACACACTTCATACGCCCGTTGGGGAGTTGTCCATCACACTTTGGGACCTTTATCGACTTGGTGGCCTTTCAATCGATGGCACGTTTTTCGATGAAGTGTTCCTTCGGCGCGGGAGCTCCTCACTCGTGACAAAGAAGGGAAACCACTTCTCCCTGAGAGTTGCAGGCATCTTTTTTCGGCTTACTACCACCTCTGGACGAATGACCAAGGGGTATGGATGAAGGACTGGATTCGCTTCTGGTTCAAAGGAGAGGCTAGGTATAGGGCTCCTCCGAGTAGAGCAAATAGAAGAAAGACTACATCTAAACCAAAAATGACTTACAACCCTTCTGGAAGCGTGGAGCCTTACGACCTTGCCGATACGAATGACTTCAATGTCCCTTTTGACACCCTGGGTATCCCAGGGTCTCTAAGAAAGGAAACCTATATTGCGGCATTCATAGCGTGTTGGATTTGCAAGTTCCTTTTGCCAAGCAAAAAGGTCGACCGTATTCGCCCAAGTGTTTTCAAGGTTGCATGCTTAATGGCTACAGGGAAAAGATTTTGTCTTGCAATTCCCGTCCTTGCGAGCATATATCATGGGTTGAGGGAGATCGTCCACGCCCCTAACCTTGGAGAATGTGGGGTAACTTTTCCAATCCATTACGTCTATGCTTGGATTGGTCAATACTTCGATGTATATCATGAAAATCATCAAGTGAGTAGCCACCACGCGCGCATGACAAGATTTAGTGGTGAGAAAATGGCAATATTTTATGGCCAATTGGAAGCTGAGGAAATCTTCAAAGAAACGAATCCTTTGATGCTTCCTAAATTGTGCTGGACTGAGAACGGAGAAAAGGCGTTGATCGATGACGGATCCTTATCATCGAGACTCACGAGCTACTTCATTAGTCAACGCTCTTGCCATTTAACTCTACGTAAGGACAATACTTTCATTATTGAAAAATATAATCCTTGCAGGTTCAGCAGGCAATTCGGTTTTTGTCAGGACATCCCCAACAACTTGAAAGAGATCACTCACACTTATACCTTAGGTGAAGCTATTCAACTATGGGATTCCTCAGTTCGCACGCAGACGCGGTCTCGAATGACTATACCCATGCACAGGAAGCATCCATTGATCACCAAAGACTATGATGCCTGGTGGTCGATTCGGTCAAATAGTGTCTCTTCAACTCCCTTAAAATTCACCGTTAAGATCCCTCAGCAATCGTCGAAGAAGAGTAAGGTTACCTCCGCCAACGAGTCAGTGCATCCTAATGGAGTTATAGAGATTGTAACGGGTCTTACCTCATCCACCTTGCGGAAGAACAAAACCGTTAGTAGCCCCTTGAAAAACGTTGTTACAAGAAATAAGTCTTCCAAAGACTCTCGACAGGCCATCAAAGAGGCGCAACCAGTGATTCCAGCAAAGAAGATGCCGCCCAAGGTTTCAAAATCTTTACCAGTGACTTATGCAGGAGAAGACGTCGAAATTGAACCGATGGACGATCGTGATTCTCTCGAGGCTATAGAACAAGAAAGGACTCAAGCTCAGGGCTTCGAATCTACCCAAAGAGGAGCCCACTCGTTGGCGAGTGGCAGTAGTAGCCAAGACCGTCATTGGAACCGATCGAAGAAGAGGACATCTTCTGATTTGGAGGAAATTTCCTTTTCACCACCGTCGGTTAGAGTGTCGCCACTTAAGGTAATCATATTTTCCTTATTTTTTTTTTTTAAACCCTCAAAACATTTTTTTTTTCAGCCCCCACTTCTTGAATTCCACCAAGAAGATGTTGGTACCAATTCACCACTTGAACTTGAGACTGATGCTATAATTTCAAACAAGAAAGGTGACGAAGTCGTTATCAGCATCCTAAAGCAACTTGCCCCCAGTGGAGGCGCTTTATCAAAGAAGGAGCTGACTAACTTGCACGAAATCCGAAAAAAACCTAAGGTAGCATTGGTTTCAGAATTTCATGGTCAAAAATTGATCCAGGCGCATCGAAGGAAGTACTTGCAGAGTTTGTGGATGGATTTTCGCGGACAGATTCTTGACACTCCAACTGAGCAGATCTCTTCTTTAAAAGAGTGTGCAGAGGAAATCATTGTGGAAATCACAAGAACGGATCCTACCAATGGTCTCCCTTTAAAAGATCACTTGATGGAATTGTTTGCCAAGGCGGAGGCATATGATGTTCTGGCATCCTCATCGTGGGAAAGGATGAGCAAAGAAACACATGCAGAACTCCTTTCCAATGCGACCGTCCAACTCGAGAGAGTTAAGGCAAAGGAAGAAGGACTAACTTGTCACTTGCAAAGTCTTGAAAAAAGTTGCAGTCCATTGAAGACAGGAAGAAGGTTCTGCAACAGGAACTCATCAATTTGGAGAAACAAGGCCTGGAAATCAGTTCGACTATCGATCAAAAGCATGAGACCTTTCAAGGAGATCCAGGCTGAAATAACCCAAGCGCATGATGAGCTATCTTCCATTGAAAATACTAGCATCATGACTGATGACGCAATGAAGGAACTTGAAGACATGAAGTCTGCACTTGAATCATATAAAGTAGCTGTAGTGGAATACAAATTTGATTAGAGACTTTCCACCATGTTCTTCTTTTCCTTGAATTATTTTTCACTCATTCTTTCCATTAATGATTTTTTTCTTTTGAATAATAAAATGCTTTTTTTTCTTCTTATCTTTTTTTTTTAAGAGAAAAGAACTTTTAAATTTAGCATTTTATCTCAAAGAAAAAGAGAGGTTCTTTTTTTTTTTTTTGTAAGAACAAGGATTTGATTTGGAGTGGTGTAACTGAACTTAGAAGTTGCCCTCTAAGCTGCCTACGTATCCCAACAAGGGAATCAAGTCACACGTAGTTCCTGCCGTTCACATTTTAACCTCATGCGGGCCAGGAGTATCTATTTGTTTACCACCTTAGACTTGGTGGGGAGTTTCAGCAGTTTAACCACATACTACACTATTGGTAGTTGCCATCCACAGTTTTAGCTCATGCGGGCCAGGAGCATCTATTTGTTTACCACCTTAGATTTGGTGGAGTGTTTCAGCAGTTTAACCACATACTACACTATTGGTGGTTGCCATCCACAGTTTTAGCTCATGCGGGCCAGGAGCATCGTGCGGTTCCAATTAAGCATAGTACCTTTTTAGGTACTTGCCATTGATGGGGCCAACCCTTAATCCATCTTCAGCAACCAACTTGTATGAGCCATTTGTATATACTTCTCGGACGACATATGGACCATCCCACTTAGGAGTAAACTTTCTTTGTCCGCCATGAGTAAGAATGATTGGTTTCCGAACGGCGAGCACTAACTCTCCAATTTGAAAAGAGCGGGGTCGGACGTGCTTATTGAATGCCTTTGAAAGGCGAGCCTGATAACACTCAATCCGTTGCTGAGCTTCCAATCTCTTTTCGTCGAGTGCTTCTAATTCCTCGAGGCGAAGACGAACATTATCTTCTCCACTGAGTCCTTCTTGAATTGCAATTCTTAGCGAAGGTATTTGACACTCAAGTGGAAGAACAGCTTCAACACCGTAAACAAGCGCATATGGGGTTGCTTGTGTGGGAGTTCGAAAAGTAGTTCTGTATACCCAAAGCGCTTCTCCAATTCGAAGATGCCAATCCCTTTTCGATTTATCCACGATTTTCTTCAACAGATTACATAAGCTCTTGTTGAATGCTTCAGCGAGTCCATTTGCGGCAGCGTAGTACATGGACGAATTGTATTGTTTGAAATGAAACTTTTCGCAAAGTTTGTTCATTGCTACATTGCAAAAAGGTTTACCATTATCGGTGATGATATAACGCGGGACCCCATATCGATAAATGATGTGCGAGCGGATAAAATCTACTACATTCTCCTTTTTGACCTCTCTTAGAGGAACCGCTTCGGCCCACTTTGAGAAATAATCCGTCGCTGCCAAAATAAAAATGTGTCCTCCGGAAGATTTTGGAAGCGGTCCAACTATATCCAAACCCCAAGCATCGAACGGCCAAGAAGCTACAGTTGGATGCAATGGTTCAAGAGGTTGACGGATGAAATTGCCATGGAATTGACAAGCTTGACATCTTCTAGCAAAATCGATACAGTCCTTCACCATTGTTGGCCAGTAGTATCCCATTCTTTTAATGTGAAAGTGTAATTTCGGGCCAGATTGGTGAGCACCACATATCCCAGAGTGAGCCTCCTCCATTGCTTGCATGGCCTTATCTTCTCCAAGACATCGTAGAAACACCCCATCGAATGACCTTCGGTAAAGCGTCCCTTTGTAGTAAATGAAACGTGGTGCTCGACGACGTATATCAACCCTTTTCTTGGGATCTTCTGGTAACTTCCCATGATTAAGGTAATCAATGATGAGGTGACGCCAATCCTCCTTTTCGATCTCATGGACAAAAATATGATAAGCATTTTCTTCCTCACCATCATCATCTTCATCAAACATCGGAGGTATGACCCAACTTTGACATATTGAAATCTGATTTCGATGAGAAGGCAGAGTGATCATGGACGCCACCCTTGCCAAAGAGTCAGCTTGTTGGTTGAAATTTCTAGGGATATGTTCTATAGTGACATCGCCCAGATATCCCATGAGTTGCCTTGCATACTTATAATATGGGATCAATTCGGGTTTCTTGACATCATAAACACCAAGAAGTTGATTTACCACCAATTTTGAATCACCGTAGACTCTAAGATGCAACTGTTTCATGTCTACAGCCGTTTCAAGACCGAGAATCAACGCCTGATATTCAGCCACATTGTTGGAACACCGGCGTGTTAAAGTGAAAGAGTATGGCAATATATCTGCTTCAGGAGTATGAAAGATAATTCCTGCACCGGCTCCGTCACGGTGCGCGGCTCCATCGAAATACATCGACCACGGAGATTCGACCATAAACACTTCTTCATCGGGAAGTTCATCAGTCAACTCCCACTCGGCAGGTAGGGGATGATCGGCTAAAAAGTCTGCCAATATTTGTCCTTTGACAGCCTTCGCAGGTACGTAAATAATTTCAAACTGTTGAAACTGGAGGTACCATCTCGCGAGTCGATCAGACAGTACAGGTTTTGCCATGACGTATTTAATGGGATTAGACTTAGATATGAGTCGAATAGTGTGTGCTTGAAAGTAATGTTTCAACTTCTGAATGACAAATATAAGTGCCAAACACAACTTCACGATGGGCGAGTAGTTCAACTCATTAGATGTCATCATCCGGCTCAAGTAATACAGTGCATTCTCCTTACCTTCATCGTTTTCTTGAGCAAGTAAGGCCCCAACCGACCGTTCTTGAGCGAAAATATAGAGAATCAATGGTTTTCCTGAGATGGGTGCAGCCAAAACTGGAGGATTCATGAGATACATTTTGATGCTTGTAAAGGCATTCCTACACGATTCATCCCACTCGAAGGGCACCCCTTTCTTCATCAGTCGACTGAAGGGTTGGCATCGCCCGGCCAAATTAGAGATAAACCTGCTGATATAAGCCAACTTCCCTTGAAGACTCTTCAATTCATGAATATTTCGCGGTTCAGACATGTTCACGATGGCATCAATTTTAGATCGATCGACTTCTATTCCTCGCTGATGAACGATGAAACCGAGAAACTTGCCAGAAGTGACTCCGAACGCACACTTCAAAGGATTCATCTTCAGTTGGTATCTCCGAAGGCGTTGGAAAACTTTTCGAAGGTCTTGAATATGATCTTCCCGCTTCTTTGATTTCACCACAAGATCATCGACATAGCACTCCACATTTTTATGGAGCATATCGTCAAAAATTCTTTGCATTGCCCTTTGATATGTTGCTCCAGCATTTTTCAAGCCAAACGACATTACTTTATAGCAATAAATTCCCTTGGGGGTGCGGAAGGCAGTTAGCTCCTCATCCTCGGGCGCCATGCGTATTTGATTGTAGCCAAACGATCCATCGAGAAAAGATAGTGCTTCATGCCCGGTTGTAGCATCTACCGTCAATTCTGTGATGGGGAGAGGAAAATCATCTTTGGGGCAAGTCTCGTTTAAATCTCGAAAGTCAACACAAACTTGAATTTGCCCATTCTTTTTCCTTACAGGGACGATGCTTGAAATCCATGTTGGATATTTTACTTCTCGTATAAATCCAGCTTCAATCAATCGATTTATCTCATTTTCTATCAGGGGAATCAATTCGGGCCGAAAGCGCCTTTGCGTTTGCTTGACAGGTTTTGTTCCCCGCTTGACGGACAAATTATGAACGGCGACCCTTGGATCCAGACCAGGCATTTCTGAGTAATTCCAGGCAAAGACGTCCCTGAACTCGAGCAGCAAATCAACATACTCTTTTTCTTCTTCAGGAGTCATACAAGAGCTTATGTAAATTGGGCGAGGATCGTCGCTTGTGCCAAGGTTAATCTCTTTTAGCTCATCGACTGTATTTTTTACCCCTTGTTCAAGTTCAGGGGGAGCGTCGTCTGCATCTTCTTCTTCTTCTTCAGGATCACTGATCGTAATATGGTGACAGGAAGCCATACTTTCCTGACCCTGTTCCTCAAAAATGGTTTCAACTCTTACATTGAATAAGTCTCCATAGTGCATGAAGAAATTGGAGACTCGCTTTCTTGGTCCGTTCTTCTTTATTGGAGTAAGACTTTCTTCCCTGGCAACTTGATACCCTTGTTTTTTACTGCCTAATCTCTCATAGACGGGCGACTTCAAATTTTTCGGCTGCGGGCTAAGTCTGTCAAACACAGAAGTACGTTTTTGACTTATTTCCCAATCGATCGAACACAGATCTCTTTCGACTTGTGACCTCCATTTCTTCGTTCACATAGTTACAACTCGCTCTTTTGATCATTATACGAACAGGAGAGGGCGGTTGATAACCAAGACCCATCGATGAACTTTCAACATTATAGCCCATTTCTTTCAACATTTTCTGCGTAGGTGTCAATCCGTGAGTTTTCTCGCCAGTTACCTCAGGAGGGAGTTTGCCCAATGTATTCTTCTCATTTGGGTTATAACCCGCCTTAGCAAGAAGTCTATAGGCGTTTGGATCAAAACCTTCTTGAGTCCGATTAGTTGGTAGCAAGTAATGTTCCACTGCCGGTTCTTCTTTGGGACGAACAAACCCTTGCAGGCTCACCTTCTCAATTTTAACAGGCTCTATCTTGGTGAGCGGAACATTTAATGTGTCATTTCTGATAAAAGAATACTGACCTTCTTCTCTCTTTGATCTTGGAGTATACCGCAAAATGGGTACTTTGGAATATTGACTTTCTTCCCTTACCGATTCCTTTCTTTTTGCTTCTTTGTGAAGATAAAATTTGGCATCAGCAAAGTGAGTTTCGGCTTCCGTGAAAGGTTTGTCATCAGCAGTAACTTTCTTAACAATACCATCTCGACAATATTTGAAACATTGATGCAGAGTAGATGGTATAATTTCATTCTCGTGAATCCAGGGCCTTCCCAAAAGCATGTTATAAGAGGTTTTGGCTTCAATGATATGAAATAACGTACTTGAAGACAGCTCACCAATGAGCAATTCAAGCCTTATGAGGCCAATTGCTCTTTGCCCCCCTTGATTAAATCCTTGGATCATAAGGCGGCTCTGGGAGAGTTCATCACTTGAGATTCCTAACTCTTTCATAGCATGTACGGACATGATATTGACAGCAGATCCCCCATCAATGAGTATCCGATTCATCTTTTGTTCTCGAACATATGCGCTTACAAACAAATTGTGGGTCTTGAACTCAACAGTTAAATCGTCATCATCAAAAATGATGGTCGTTGCACAATCCACCGGTGGTTTATCATCGATTTTGAGTTTTTTCTCAAATTCAGTGCCAATTTGTGTGACTTGAGGATTTTCAGCTTTGACGACATTACAAGAAATGGAATTATCAGTATCGTCACTTAAATACCCCTTGGGTATAAATTCTCTCAATGTCACGGGCTGTCGAACCTCTTGAAGAAGCTGAAAATCTGACGAAATTGGTGTTGTGGCGACTCCCTTTTGTTTCTTTGTCGCATTTCGTCGTTTCATCGTCATTTTCGGCTTTGTCGAATGAATGCTTTTCGAAAAGATGTACTTCTTTATTTTTAGCTTGCAAGTCCTCTTTCGAGTGACTAAAGTCCATCCTTCATTATCATCTTCGACAACATTTTCAATCGACGATTTTTCAAACTCCGTTTGTATAGACAGAGCACTGCTTGATATGGGTAGAACTTCTATCGGGCAACACACAGATCCAAACATTATTGTTGTTTGGTTTGCCGATGCTTTATCTTCCTCGAGAAGGATCTTTCCTTGACGGGCCAATTCCATAATTTTGTCTTTAAAGACAAAGCATTTAGTGAGAGGGTGGCCAATCAGGCGATGATAACAGCAATAGTTTGGATCATTGACTTGACCGGCTTCCTCTGGACGCTTCATTTCAGGAAGTTCAAGGAGTTTCTCCTTGAAAAGGTCATCAAACATCCCTTGTAAATCAGATTCACGAAATGGGTATTCTTTTTCTTGCATCTCTTTTAACGTGGGTCTTCTTACTGACCTATTTTGAGATGGATCCAACTTCTCAGTAACCTTTCGGCTCACTTTGGTAGCAATTTTCATGGGAGCTATGTTTATTGCCATGGACTCCTTATTATTGAATCTTGAAGGAGGCTTGCCCCCTTTTCTATTTTCTTGTCTTTCATTGTTTTGCCGAGGTGGCTGTACTCGCGGAGCTTGAATAGGAAGCCCATCAGTTGCATTGGCCGTGATGCTTAACTCCATGTCATGAGCACGAGTAGCTAATTCTTCAAACGTGTTTGGACGTATACCCTGTAGAATGTAGCTTAGGCTCCAATGCATTCCGCGGATGCACATTTCTATGGCAGAGGGTTCGGACAGTCTGTCCTTGCAGTTGAGACTCAGACTTCTCCATCTATCAATATAGTTGACCACAGGTTCATCCTTCCATTGACGAGTGTTAGTCAACTCCAGCATACTGACGGTTCTTCTAGTGCTGTAGAAGCGATTCAAGAATTCTTGCTCCAGCTGTCCCCAACTATCGATGGACCCCGGCGTGAGATCAGTGTACCAATCAAATGCGTTGCCCTTCAAGGATCGAACAAACTGTTTGACTAACAGGTCACCATAAGTTCCAGCGTTATTGCAGGTTTCAACAAAATGAGCCACATGTTGTTTTGGACTACCTTTCCCATCGAACTGTTGAAACTTAGGCGGTTGATATCCAGCAGGCATTGCTAGATTGTCAATTCTAGCAGTGTAAGGTTTGGAGTAGGTAAAACTCGATCTTGAACTACCCCCATTTTTGTCTTTGATCACGCCTTCAACAAGTTCCTTCAATTGTTCTACGGGGATAGTTCCCTCGGCGGTCACGTATACTTCCTTCACCTTATCTTTACCTTTAGATGAGGGATTTTCACGCTCTTGGTTCTCCTTAGAATCCATATGGCTTCCTTCAGGAGCGTGGTCCTTTTGGGTGAGCAGTTGAGCAATGAGAGCATCTTGGTCCTTGATGTGTTTCATCATGGTTTCCATCATCTTGGACATGTTCGAAACTTGCTCTTCGAGACTTAAAGCATTTGTCATCATAGCAGGCATTGCAGTAGAAGAAGCAGCAGAATCTTCCATAGAAAATTTTGATTGAAGGGTTTCATGTGAAGAAGCTGATCCAGTGCTTGATGAATCATCGTCATGCTTATAAAATTTGGGTTCGGATCCAAATTCGAGCATGGCAAGAGCCTTCTCAATCGAGGTGAAAACGTCTTGGACCCCCATCGTGGAGGAATAGCTCATTTGTGATGTTGACCCGAAGACGGGAGTTGGCGCCGAGGGTTCCATGCTACTTTGGGTGGAGGCTCTCGTCATACTCCTTGTCACGGGGCCCATAACGCGGGTATTGGTGGCAACGTGTGCAGCTTCCTGAACAGGCTTAGCCTCAGTAGCCTTGGAACGTGCAATCACGATTTTGTTGCTCTTTGGTGCCATTGATGATAGACGTAGTTGAATATTCGAGGAGAAGAGATGGAAGGCAGAGGGGTCCCACCGGGCGTGCCAAAAATTTGTACGCGATAAAATCTCAAGTCTGCAAAACGACAAGAAAAAGAAATACACGACAAATATATACTATATAAACTTAGAAAAATATGTATGTACAATCTCTGGAAGTTTCTCGAACTTATGGAGAGTTTCCTTCGATTCTTCTCCTCGAACACCAATCCAAGGGCTTCGTAGCTTGTTCTTGGATCAACCACCGACTCCTTCAAATCTTGATATGGAAGATTTGAAGGATTTGAAAATACTTGAAGGCTCAAGCCTTGATATGCGGAAGACTTGAGGAGCTTTGAGACCCAGACCTTCGTAGCTTGAAGCTTCAATACTTGAGTGTATGAGATGCTTCTTGATATCTCTGTGTCCCCTTAACTTGGTTGAGAGACCTCTATTTATAGTTGTAGCAAGAGGTGGAGGTTGAGATCATGTACACCACTCCACTTGCCTAGCAAGACGTACAGTCATATTAGGACTGTGCCAGTTAAATATTATCTCTTCATTAATAAAGAGATAAGTAATTTCTCGATTGGCTAGACTTGTGGGGACACGTGACGTGGCGCCATTTTACTGGCCAGGCCATTGCAGTATATAAGAGATATACTTGGATTAAACATTTCTAAATATTATCCCTTTAATAAGAAATAAATATTTAGACATTTATCCAATAAATACATGATATGATATGATTTGGTTGGTGGAGATACCCCTGCAATTTGAATTGATTTGGAACACCTCACCTTGACACGTGGCAAAATATAATTGGCTGCTTAATAACCAAATTTTCCAAGTGTACATGACATATGGCAATATCCGATTGGACAAAAATATTTTAATAGACCAACGGTAATTTTTAGAATTTAATTAAAATTCCATTGTCTACAGTCTAAAAAGAGTTTTATTTCTTTTTTTATTCAAAAACATATTTTTGGGTGATTTGGTACACCTTAACTCAATACCAAGTGGTGAATCCTATTTTTTTTAAAAGATCCTTTTAGACTATTGTTTTGGGTCAAAATTGTCGCATATTTAAATCCCATTTTAGACGCTCTTTTTTCTTTCATTTTTCAAAAACTAATTTTTTCAATTCACTCAAAATTAATCAAAAAATTTATTTTTCCTAAACAAAAAATTAAATTTTATTTTTTAAAAAATGGTGGGCAACAGCCACGATAATAACATTCAATTAACCGATAATTTCATTTGTAAAAGTAGTGAGAAATTTCATAACTCTTGGAGTTTTCTATTGCTATTTTTGTTACTTTTATTTTGTGTTCGTAGTGTAGATTTAACTTCTTGCATTTGTGATAGTTTAAATAATAAAGGAATTTGAAAACCAACCGTAATTGACAATCTTCTCTATGAGATTAACACCTAATTTTTCTGTACTTGATAAATGATCTGTATACTTGTAGAAAATGGGGTATTTAGATTTTATTAAAATTTGAGTTATGGTAGAATCTTGTCAATT